GCAAGGCCCTGATACATATATCGCCAAGTGCATTACACATGCTCATCTCATCAGTGACATTTCCTCCCCCTCGCTACTGTCCGCTCCGCTCAGCCGCCGGTCTTTCTGAATTCTTCCACATCCCCAGTCGATAGGTCGATCAGGTACCGACTCGACACCCCTCCAGGATAATTTCCAGCAGTCCATCCGCATCCGGTAATCACACCATCGCTTCTCCAATATGGAACCAGTGGGGCTTAACACCTGCTGCATCCAACCGAGCGACCGGGATAGGGCTGTCTGTCGCACTCCATCCAATCAAGCAAAGGATCGCCCAAGGCTCTATTTTGGGCAGTGATCGTATTACCTCTAGCCATGCTGCACTCTAGCACGCGTGCCATTACCCTGCCCTTGGGAATGAGCAATTACTGCCATCTGTTGGGACAAGTCTCACATAAACGCTCTTGGCACCCTGTCCAGAGGTACTTGATTCACGCTCGGGAATGAAGCCGACGCTTTATTCTTGTGGCGTAGAGCAGTGAACAGGTCGAGTGAAGTGACAGTACCTTCGGCAAATGACATGCTTCACGGCCCGCACACAACGTGTACAGCCTGCAAACTGCATGCGGCACAGAAACCTTGCCAGCGCACCTGCGCCCCTTGCTATTTCTCTCATCACAATGCCCGACTACGCTTCCCCAGATGCAGCCCGCACGACAATACCCGTGTGCGACCTTCTTCGCTGGGTAATTGCGTCAACGCAGATCTGCCGTCCCACGTTTCCACTTCACGTTCACGCACCCGCTTCAAGCCGAATGCACCCGTTGCGGCGAGCATCTGTCGTTGTACCAATACTTGGTCGGCTTCCGTAGTCGTACCGAGGTGGGCAGCGCTATGCAGTTGGACGATTCGGGATCGAACTGCAGGAGCATCGCCGTGTGGGTGGCTTGGTAGATGGGTGTTTGATCTGCGGCGTAGATCATGTTCTGTCGTGCGCCTTGAACAAAAGCGGCGTCGACGAGGCTTGCCACTGAGTCACCGCCAGTGACTCACTATCATCATGGCGATCAGGGTCTTTGGCGTTCGTCAGAGTCTATTCCGAACTGGCTGTTTCATCGGAGGCAGATCGCGCGAGAACTTAGATCACCCTTTTGATGCCTACGCGCGCACGAACGACATGACTTCGGAGATTTTGCTTCGAACGGTTATTGTGCGACGGTAACATGTCACTACGCTGTCTGCAGTGCTACTACTACCCAGCATTGTAGGTTTCCTCCGAATGGACGTGTCGATGATACACAGCAGATCGCCTGCAGGATCGCCCTCGTCATCGTGTTCGCTCTACGTACGCACTCCGCTCACAACATGGACGCTCCGGTGGAACGAGCATCGCGGGCGAGAAGACTACACGAACGCAACTCCCAAAGCGGCACCGAATGGCCGACCCGAAGACCTTGGACTCACTCAACGAACCGTTCAGGAGAAGGCGGGACGCGGCATTCGGGAGATCAGCGCGCAAGCGACCGCTCAACAGGCGTTGTAGCGTTGTTGTCGTCATTGTCCACCTGAGGCTGACTGTTCAGTTAGCGTATGCGTAGTTCACTCCGCTCCGTAGCACTGCGTATACCCATCTTGACACCGTGCGACGGACGCTAGTCTACCCCCTTCGGAGTTGCGCGTCTCCAAGATGGCTATGGCAATGCTACGACATGCTTCGGAGAGGACACTCGTTTCGCGTGCTAGAAGCGCGCCTCTAACACGATGCCGAGTACTACAAGGTCCCCTCTGTGTGACTTCAAATTAGAGCTGTTTGGTAGTCCAGGGATGATGGGCATCCGAGCACTGAGAGATGAAGGTATCCGCTCGATTTCCCGTAGTAACGAATCCAAGGTAAAGACACATCAATGCTTAAGCTACCACCGTCAGTCGTAGACTTCTCGCCCCCTGTCAGTGTATGATTACTACTCACTCCCCTATCCAACGATACTAGATACCAAATTTCGGACCTTACTCCGCGGATTAGTGTGAAAAGCTAACGAGGAATACACGATATTAAGGGCTGATACGATGGAAGTCTGTCACAAAACATCACACTCCAAGCGCACTGTGAAGCCTCTTCAGGTATCAAGAAATTGCTACTAATAAAACAAAGACAGGATGAGAACGTTAGTAAATAAGGAGAACCGGACAGTCCAAGCGTACACATCATTTCCGATCGAGAAGAAATTGCTCTTAATATCAACTTACTTCAGTCAACAATAACAACGAGAGAAGAGTAAGATGCACTTGATATCCGAGAAAGAAAAACCTTGTCGTCAAGATCTGCACTACAGGGTTCGGCGAGGGACAAGAGATCACTTTAAGCAGTGCAGGATACCACTCTATTCGCTAACAGTTAGCATTTCCATCGTTCTGGCCCCCTAGACACTTTTTTCAACACTACATTCATATCTCTAAACACGACTGAACTCCTGATGTCCAATCCGTTTGGCGCCCATGACCACATCAAGCGAACATTGCAAGAAAGTGCCTCCAAACAATTGTAATATTAACTTCAATCCATGTACTTCTCCATCAACACCCTCCAACGACATCCCAACATCGCACGTCCTCTCCTCCCCTTTTCACTACCCTCTCCAACACCCTGTTCAACCTCCTCAAGCAACAGGCCCCATAACCCATGGCTCGGATCCGACACCGGCAATCGACAGCTTTCGACAAACTGCCTCATGTAGTGACTGCGCCACCTAACGGACATATCCTTCGGATCCGACACCAGCAATCAACAGTTTTCGACGGATTGCCTCATTTGGACCGCGCCAACCGACGGACAGAGCCTTCGGATCCGACAACATCAACCGATGGCTCTCGACAAATTGCCTCATGTGGTGACTGCCGCTCAACGGACAAGTCCTTCGGATCCGAAACCTGGGTTCGGACAAACTACGCAGAACGTGGTTGCCCTTGATGTCTGCTCAAAGCTACGTTGCACGGCTTTCAAATTACTGGAGGAGGAAGAGGGAATTGTGGCACCGGTGTGGAATGGGAGTGTCGCATGTTGTGTTGTATTGGTAGGTTAAGATCGGTCATGATGTCTCCTTGTGAAAGTTAGACGATTCCGGGTCGAGATCTAGAAAGTCCTTTCCTGGAGATATCAGAGATTGTTAAACACGACTATAAGGTATAAAGACAGCGGAGAGCCTGTTATCTCATGGATTTGATTCGTGTGAAAGCTATGCTACAACTTCTGCGTCTATTCCAACCCGTTCTGACCTCAGTATTTGAGTTGTGGAGGCTATGCAAAGCTCCAGAACCGCAAATTTACAAAACTCATAGTAGGAAGGGTGAGTTTGTCGCTGATTTACTCGTTACGTACTGCGCAGGCAATAACGAGGGTAACGGTGACAGGATGAAACTGCTGGTAAGTCCACATTAATTGAACCTCACCTTACTATCCTGCAAGTGCAAGTACGAGAGGTGGTAAAAGCAAATGGGGCTGGTGTGCTCGAAGCACTGATGTGGTAGGGGACGGCGGGTATGGTCTCGTTTGACCCTGACTCTGACGGGACAGCCACAACGCTTGATTGTCCGTGAGTAAAATCTGTTGATTTCTCTTTTCATCGCGATACGAGCAATGTTGAGGTTTCGAAAAACGAGGCTGGTGTTGTGCGGAAGTAACGAGGGGGTTGGTCCACAGTGCCTTTTGCGCATCGCGAGTACGAGGTCAGTAAATTCTTCTTGGGACACATCAAGCTCAGAAGAGAGTAACAGCACGCGATGTCATGTGCGACCCGCATTAGCACAATGCGGGGTGCTGGCATCTTCCTGGCTGTTGATAGGTAGGCATCGGCGACCAGGCTGCGACGGGGCGGCTCGAGCAGTGCTCGGCCAAGGCAGAAAGGAAGAGGTTGGGAGTTAGGCGATGAGTTGGCATTCGCGGTGTGCTCTGAAGTTGAAACTAATTGAGTAGTTTTGTGAGATTTCGCGACTACGATGCCGGGTTTGATGGGGGAGTGCCTGTCAGTGTGCAGGAAAAGCACCCCATGAGTGCGCAGAGACCGGCGCAGCGGTGAGGCTGGAGTATCACAAGTCTTGCAAAAGCAAAAAGCAGCATAGTTGCCCTGCGTCGAGACATTGTTTCGTGATTGGAGCGCATTCCGTCCTCGTCTGGATGCGGACAGGCAATCAGAACGAGATGACCAGCGCAGGATCGCGCAAACCCCCAAATCTCCAGTGACTGGCTGCGAAGCCATCGAAGACAAGAAGATAGCCCGTCCCAAAGAACTGACAGAACTACTGTTCATCAGTCTATTGCCTACCTTGGCCAGAACACGCCTGGCAGCCCGCATCTCCACAAGTCAAACGTCACACTTACCTAATCCCCGTACCCCTACGCATGCCATCCCTCTAAAACACGCACACCCAGCCCCCCCTTTCCCAACACAGCGCGTATCGCAGGCACACATCATCCAAAAGCGAAATGACATGCAACGCCAATGCCCGTCCAAAACCTGCATTGGCAGTGGATGGATGAAAATGCGCATTAAGTTGTTCTCGATCTCGTCGATGGCCTGGCTAGCGGGTAAAACTAAGCGGGGATGCCAAATGTGCGACGGGCGGGAGAAAACAAGAACAGGGGTACGGGTCAAGGAAGCGTGCCGCCTGGCGGCGCAGACGTGCATCATACCCGTCTCTTTTGGGGCGACTGGTCGCGACGGAAAAAGAAGCTACGTCATACGGGGCTGGGACAAGGCCACCTCGCGCAGGTTTGGGAATGGGTCTTAAAGTTGGCACTGCCACATCTTCTTTGTCCTGCATTACTTCTAACCTTTTTGCCATCTACGCTGCATCTAATACCATCTACCACTTTACTAATTCCTACGGTATTTCGACGTTGAGACGTTGAAACTTTATTCGCTTGAGGCTCATCGCGCAATCGTCATCCGACGGGAACACGGATAATCGATCGTCAACGGTCGCTGATCATCTCATCACATCACCGAGATAGAACCGCAGAAGTCATGTCCGGCGTACAGGAAAAACAGCTTCATGAGTACGTTATCCCTGCGTCCAATACGGCGCGACGCGCATCGTCGCGTTCGCGATGAGATGGGAATTGCGCATCTGCATTGCATACCTACCCTTGCGCAACGAACTAACACACCAACCACAGGCTCCTCTCCCGCTCCATGGTCGACATCTACGTCGGCCCCGAGAACACGCACTGGATCCTACACGAGAAACTGCTGTGCTACCACTCGCCCTTCTTCCGCAAGATCTTCTACTCTAAAGCCAACTCCGCGTCGCGCACGCAATCCTTCGGGCTCCCGGACGAAGAAGATGCGCCCTTCAAGACCTTCGTCGGCTGGCTCTACAGCTCCTCCCTGCCCGTCCCTCGCGAAGAAGCCGACCTAGGCGTCTGCTTCGACCTGTACCTGATGGCCGAGAAGTTCGAGATACCGGGCCTCGTCGCCGACGTCCTGCAGGTCGTCCGCGAATGGTACAAGTACAGCGACAGCTACCCCGGTCTGCGTCGCGTGCAGTACATCTACGCCAACACCGAGGAGGGTAGCCCGATGCGCCACATGCTTGTCCACGCTGTCGCGCGCATGATGGTTATCGAGAAGGGTATCCCTGCGCACTGGGACAAGGCGCTGCGTAAGAACGGACAGCTTGCTGTTGACATCATCAAGGCGATCCAGGACTGGCGTCTTGAAGAGGAGGTTGTGCCTGATGCGCGCGAGGAGCCGGCTGAAGCTGAGGACCTCGTCGATGTGGAGCAGGAGACGCAGAAGTTGGATGAGGAGGCTGAGCAGGAGATCGATGATGATGTTCGTGCGGAGAGGGCGGAGGAGGCGGATGACTCCGAGGATACCGTTGTTGAGAGCCCGACTAATGAGAGTAAACGCCCGCAGCCTAAGTCGAAGCAGAGTGGCAAGGATGTTGGACAGGACTTGAAGAGCAAGGATAATGGTCTTGTTAAGGACTTTAAGAAGTTCAGCCTCAAGGAGATGCCGAATGAGATGACCGGCGCCGACTATGGTACTCTTCGCGCGTAGGCTGGGCCATCTTATCTTCGCCACATACCTTTACATTTGGATTCAATTTGCATGATTTTCTGCTCTGTAGGGAGGAATAAATATCCGGCGTTTGGGATCTGGGGTTTCGGGACATTTCTATCTTTCTCTTCTTTCTTGGTAACTTTCACTTCGAAAAAGAGAGAATAATGTCTTAGTAGCCTTTAGGGATTAGGTTTTTTTCTGTAGTTGAAAGTTTGCAATTGTAACATCATTACCTGCATCATCTTCGAATGCCTACCCACTGTACACATGAGTCCACTCTTGACACCAGAAATTGATATTAAACTAAATCTACGGTGAAGTTTACACACAGAAAACATAACGGGAACTATACATCCCTCATCCCATAATAGTCTCGCCAGATGGTCTTCTAACAAATAACGCTCTCGGCGCATTCCCATTGGAACATGTAGTTACCGCATTCACACAAATACCACCACCACCTCTGCAGCACGTATTTACAACACACAGCTGATTGGTCGCACAGTCTTCATTGACCTTGCATTGGGGACTGCTGCAGGAAGTAGTTCCGGGCACACACAGACCGCCGCCACCAGCGACGGAACCGCAGATGCATCCTGAACTGCAGAAGACGTAGTTGGAGCAAGACGAAGGAGCACAGCTGGGATTTGTGCAAAGCCCACGAGCGCAACCGCCACTTGCGCAGACATTACCACACGCGCCGCAGTTGTTAGGATCGGTTTGGAAGTCTGGTCCTGCTGTAGTGGTGGCCGTTGCAACAACCGTCACAGTCGGGGTCATAGTCTCCGTTGCAGCGATCTCCTGGGTCGCTGTGGTGGTCACAGTGACGACGGTTTCGGTGAAGGCGGTAGAGGTCGAGATGCTAGTTTCCGTAGCGGTGCTGCTGACGACTACAGTGACGGTAGGGGTTGGGAGGGAGAGGCATTCGCAGGCTTTGGTGATTTGCGCGCATTCGTATTGCTGGAGACCTTCTGGGGCGGTTGGGCAGAGTGTTGGAGCGGGGAGGGTGGGCGAGGGTGTGGACGATGGTTCGGTGGTGGCTGAAGGTGCGATGGAAGAGGACTCTGGGGTGCTGGAAGGTGCCGTGGAAGAAGCCTCGATAGAACTGAGGGTGATTGTAGAGGATGATTCCACAGTGATTGAAGTCGCTGCGACGGATGACTCTACGATGCTCGAGAGAGTCGAGTAAGCCGACTGCATTACGTTCGAGTACGCGTACAACGCCTGTGATGCAGTTGAGTAGGCCAGATGCGATGTTTGCACTGTACTCAGCGATTGCGACGATAGGACCTCTACCGTACTGGAGGGCTCCACGACCGGGTAGCTCGCTGTGCTCGAGCATTTTGTGGATGTGGATGAAGGAGTCGCAGTAGTCGAAGACTTCTCGCTCTTAGTGCATGATGTGCTGCTGGAACTGAGCGTCTGCACATAATCGCGTTTGATGGGTGCTTCGGCTGTCACAGTTACCATCGTTGCTGTCGCTGGGCATAGCTGTACTTCGGTAGTCCTAGGCATGTTAGGGTGTGTAGATGCGGCATCCATGTGAAGTGACTTACGTGATAACAGTTACTAAGACTGCATCGGCTGTCAAGGTGGTAGTGCCAGTAGTTGTAGTCTCGTCGGTGTTTGTGAGAGATTCCGTGAGTGTTATCGTCTCAAGGGTGTCTGTAGTTGAAATGACAGTTGATGTGCTTATTGCGCTAGAAGTGACGGTGACGGTCGGGATGGCCAGGAGCGACGAACAGAATTCCGCAGCTGTCGGCACCACTCGCAGCTCATCGACAAGAGGCGAAATGAGTTGACACCCCGAATCTTTGACGTCAGTGAGTCCGGGAATCTCTTCCTGAGCTGAGCTGGCAACTGCCAAAGAGAGAAGGAGGGAGGTGATGGATGTGCGCATTTTGATGAAGTTTTCCGATTCTGGGCCGACTGTGGACGTTTGTTCCTGCCACTGGAAACGAAAATGACTGGAGTAAATACTGAACTAGACGGACACGACAGCATATGTACAATTTTGAGAGTGCCATCCATGGAGCCATTTTCGTGGCGCTCGACATGGCTGAGCTGAAGCAGGGCCAGACGAGGTCATTCGGGCATTCCGACGGCGACTTTGCTCCTATTGCTACCACTTGCAAGTCTTCAACGACCACGGAAGCGAAATGGCTTTCGATCTAAACCCACGAATGTGTAAGCTCTTGCTGGAATGCCAGGTTGTGGATAGAAACTTGACTCGAATAGGTCTCTTCACAATGAAGGGGCTGTAATGCTAGATCAAATAAACCAAAACAATCTAGCACATCGACGAAAGACACGCAGGGACTTCGTGGCGTATCGAATGGACAATGCGTCGCGATGGAATTGGTTGGTGTGAGGCTTGAGGTGTACCTGGCTAGTGCAGATCTGGGGAAAGCCTCGTCTAGGCCGCCATAGATCTCGTCCCCCTGTCTGTGCTTGACGACGGGGAACGCGATAGTTGACGCCGCATCTTACGATCATCGAATCGTGGACTCATCAATTACTCGTCACATAATGGAAAGTCACCCTCCAGGAGAATGAATATGAAGACGACGATAGCAGAGTTGTCAGATCGTTGAAGAAGGGGTATCTTTGATTGCAGGTGACAAATATTGAAAGTATTCGAAAAGTGCCCGTACAGACTATTGAGCAGTACGGCGCTCGTCGGGCATATTCTTCCGTTCTTTCGCCGTGACCTTCTTGCGACGGCGTTCGATGACCTTTTCGCGCTGCTTCGATTTCATGTTCTGGAAGCGGTCGACCAATGCAATCTTCTTTTGCTCGGCTGGGATATATTGTCAGTACGTGCATGTTGGGACGAGGGAATTGAGTGGACCTACACTTCTTCAAGAAGAAAGGCTGCTTGCCCTCCTTGACAAGCTCCTTCTCCTTCTTCTTGTGCTCTCGTGTCACCTCCTGTAGCTTCTCCTTGTTCTCGCGGGCCTTTTGTTGCGACTCCATAGAGAGTAGCTTCTTCTTCAGCTGCTCCTGCTCGACCGGGTTCTTCGTCTTCTTTATAGTCTCACGTAGTTCAGAGATCTCGGATTTTCGGTAGTCGTTGAGGAAATCGTAACGCTTTTTGACCACGAACTCATCGGGCTGGGGTCCTGAGGCATTGTCGAACCGGGGGTCACGGAAGACTGGCTTCTTCACATCGACTACGTTCCGCTTACGTGACACCGCACGCTTGCTCGACTGGACAGCGGGGGCGTGTTTGCTCGAGCGCGCTTTGGGAGCTGCGTCGGAGTCGGAGTCTCCATCCTCGTCGGCTTCCTGAGTGTCTCGTTTGCTCTCGCTCTTGCTTTTGCTCTTCTTGTCCGTCTTGGCTTTCTTGCTGGGCTGTGCACTGTTCGCAAGCTTTTCAGCCTTGATCTGTCGTAACCGCTCCCTCAATGCTTCCAGCTTGTCCTCTTGCGATTTAGATGTGTCGTCGCCTCGTTTGCGCTTCCGGTCGGCGGGTTGCTGTTTTGAAATGGCGTCCTGTGCTTTGGCTAATGCTCCAAAAGAGACTTTGCTCATTTGCGCTTTTACTTGGTCATCGTCGGAGGCGTCTGACTTGGGGATGTTAGTGGTATGCGCTGGCGAGGCTAAGTGTCAAGAACTCACCATGTCCTCATCTCCCGATTCCCCATCTTCCTCGCCATCTGAACTGATCACGTTTCCGCCCTCATCTGCCTCGATCACAGATGCAGAAGAGGATCGGTCGGTGACCTCGTAGTAGCTCTCGGCGTCTGAACTGTCTTCGGCGGCGCGCAGAGTGCGATCCAACTTGCTCGCGAGCACCATGGTAAAGCCCGGATTTGAGGATGTCGCCGTGAAAGCGCTTGTTGAGGGTGTATCAGTGTCGCAGTGTCGGTGTTCCTATCGCGTTCTTCTTCGCCGCGGTCTCCAACATTTTTGTGGACCCCACCTGCCGGGGGTTTGATTCGCCGACAGGGCCGACAGACAGGCAACTGCGCCCAAATTTCGAGTGCGCCTTCCACCGTTGGGCTTCATGCTGCGTGCTCTCCGTCTTCACCTCACCAGGCTTCTCACCGCTCACCCCTCCCGTCCCGCCGAGCGTCTGTCGCTATCGCACGTGCTCCATGGCCGCAGTCGCATCAGCTCGGTACAGCATCCCCCACTGCGCTCCAGTCGCAACTTCCTCCACTAACACCGACAACTTCAAGACCAAGACAGGTCGAGACAGCACTCCCCACGGGCGCCCGCTCTCTGCCTCCGCAAGCGCCAGCATGAACGAGTCATGGAACCCGAATGCGATGCCCTTCCGCCCGGGCGGCTTTGACCGTCGCGAGCAGAGCTTTGGCGCCTTCGAGAACCAGCTTCCACCACCACCACCCCCTCCTCAGTTCCAGGGTCCACCACCAGGACCATACGGGCCGCCGAATGGCTTCTTCAACCAGAACTTTGCGCCCCCTCCGCCGCCGCCCCAGCAGCCCCCGCACATGTTCAGCAACCAGCACCATGACTTTGCAATTCACCAGCAAGCCATGGCATACCACCACTGGATGGTGCAGAACGGCCACCCGCATCACCCACCGCCGCCGCCTCCTTTCCCGCTAGGCCCAGAGGCCTTTGCGGGGCGCCCACCGCCACACATGCCGCCTCATGGCCAGCCGCCGTTTGGTGGGCCGCCATTTGGCCAGCAGCCGTACGGACATCAGGCGCATCACGGTGGGCCCCCGCCTATGCCTCATCAGCAACACCAGATGTACCCGAATCGCCCGCCCTACCATATGATGCAACAGCAGGCAAACTTTCCGCATGGAGCAAGGAACGAGGACATACAGTATGCTTTCGATGCCTTGTTGAAGGGTCTGAAGTCAAAGAGCCGCACCGCTAATACTCAGAACAGGGCACCAACTCCTCCAGGCAAGAAGTCAAAGTCTGGGTTTACTGCCAACGGGCAAGCTAAGCAGAAAGAGTATGGTACCCTCCACCGCATTGCTTCGTTTGAAGCCAAGTGCTCTCGGATTAACAAG